AGAGTGTTTCTTCTTAAACATGGGGAATTTTCAGAAAAATACTGGATGCAACTTAATCTTCATGTGAAAATTTGAATTTTAAAATTTCCCAGCCAGGAAAAGAATGATGTGAGGTAGAAAACCCCAAACCAGGGTATTCTTTTTCAAACATCTGGCAGGGATTTTGTCTAAACAGATTCAAAGCAAACCCAAAATATACAGTGGTCACCGTTCTCTCGAATAAGCAGACACCATTCTTCAGACCAAAGCACTTTGCAAGGTGTGGGAAGACCAGCACAGCAGCTCCACAAACTGCAAAACACAGCTTGGGGGTTTAGTGCCAGAGGAATACAGTTTGGAGAAGGGATAGGCCCGGGACTGTTCAGAGGCCAGTCCATCCAGGAGCCAGGCAGAGCCCGGGACAGGCACGGGTTTGCCCATTTCAGCAAGGAGAAAGCCCCCCATCCTGCCTTTGATCCCAGCCACTCTTCCAAGCTCTGCAGCCTCAGGTGTTATCCCAGAACTCCAGGCCTCCTCTGTTCCATGCAAACCAGCTCCCAACAGATTGCAGGGTGCTCTAGGGCAAGAAAAACACCTGAAAGCCACTAGAGATGTCTTCTGCTCCCACAGAGCAAAATCAAGTTGGGGGCACCAGGAAAATTAAATGAATTAACCCACAAAAATTTTCTCCTTGCCTCAGAGATTTGGGCATCATCCCCTTTTCTAAATGTTTGTAGCATCTTCTCTTTTACCAGCATAGTATTAACAGAAACACACCCGCTCCATTTCAGCCATTGCTGAGAAAGCTCAAAACTTCTCTTCCCTTTCCTTCTCCTTCCCCTTCCCTTCCCTTCTCGTTTAGTTCTTTCTTTGACTTGTGGACAAAGAGCTGTTAGAATTTCCTGAAGGCTTGATGGTAGAATGTTCCAGGGGAAGAGAAGAGAAGGGAAGGGAAGGGAAGCAAGCTACTGCATATATATCTAGCTTTCAGGACAGCTACAGCTGAACAGATAGAGCACCAGGGCCTGAAGCACAGGAAGAAAAAAAAAAAACAAAAACAAACGCCACTTCCTTTATTGCAGGAGTCAGCAGACAGCCATTTGGAGGTTTGTTTTGATTTTTGTTGTTATTTTTTAGCTGTTTAGTTGTTATTTTTACAAAAGATATCTTGAAAACTGGCTGACATGTCTTTCACTATTAAGAGCTGAGCCACCTGATTAGTCATGGAGAAAGCAACGTAAAATCATAGCTGTGTATTGAAACAGAGAAGTAAGGGCAGGACCAAGCAAGCAAAGGCTCTTCAGAAGGGAACGTAACAATGCACAGCTCATTCTTCAGTCCCAAATCTGAAACCATGGAGAGTGCTGTCTTTTACTTAAAGCATGAAGCAGCACCTCCCCTACTCTCAGGTGTATGGATAACTACCATAACACTTTAGGTATTGTTAACACAGCTGTTTCTTAGATGAAAAATTATATCTGGCTATGGACTTATGCATGAGTGACAACACACACCCAACAAAAATGTTAAGAGAGTTCTTCTAGAAATCACACCATTTCTGGAAGCAAACTCAGTTTTGCCTTTTACATTTTACTTTTTTTGTTGTTGTTGTATTTAACCTGGTTGACAAGTCTTTTGTAAGACATAGTACAGGCAATGGCAAAAACATCTGTATCTCTAAGTTGACAGATTTTTGGACCTAAAGCACCCCAGTAAATGGCACTTTTTCTTGTTTTAAGTTTTTTGGTGTGACATAGGCATGAACAGAACCAACACTATGACTGAACAGGGAGAAAGGTCTTTATTCAATTATTTTGAAGTGTTCAAGCTAAAAAAAAAGCGAAATGTTGTGGGAGCTTGTGACACATTTCTCTAATGGATGCCGAGGTATTAGCTTTTTCCAGGTAGGTAAAGAGATGGAGGAGGGTACAGAAGCAATACAGTGAAGTGTAGCATTTTTTTAACTACGGAACATACAATATTTAATAACGTACTGTGCGGCAGAAGCAAGACTTTGTTGAAAATTAAAACTGTTCTCCCCTCAGAACATGGAAGCTTTCTAGCACCTCTGACATTCATGAAGTGTCCTATTTAAAGCTGGACAAAAATCAGATCAAAAGCTTCGTTCCTGTGACTTAAAAGGTACGTGAAGATTTAAACACATTTTTACAGTCGTATCTCCGAGTGCGCCAATACTGAAATGTAAGTAATACAGGTATACTTATTTATAAACAATATAGCACTGTTCTTAAAAAAACGTTGCTGCCTTTCAGCATTCACAGCTCTCTTTTGGGCAAGACCTGCTGCTCCTTGAGGCTGAAGAGCATCACTTGATGGTGGCAGCCCCGGGATGCGGTAAGGACCCTCCCTTGCGGACCCTGACACAGAAGCCTGTTACAAAAGACCCTTAAAACCCACACCAAAGCAGACGTGAAGCCCCAGCCTTCAGGCTGCACAAGGTTTGCCCTCACAGGCCCGGCCGCCGCTTCCCTG